CACGGCACACAATACACACAGGCACACACAGTACACACGGCACACAATACACACAGCACATACAATACACACAGTACACACAGGCACACAATACACACAGGCACACACAGTACACACAGCATACACAGTACACACAGTACACACAGGCACACAATACACACAGGCACACATAGTACACACAGGACACACAGTACACACAGGCACACAATACACACAGGTACACACAGTACACACAGCACACACAGGCACACAATACACACAGTACATACAGGTACACAGTATACACAGGCACACAGTACACACAGGCACACAAAGTACACATAGGCACACAGTACACACAGGCACACACAAGCACACTCAGGCACACAGGACACACCCATGAACATGAGTGCTCAGTTGTAAATCTTCAGTTCACACTAACTCCCCTTTCTCCCTGAGAGTTCAATTCAGAATAATCTCTCTTATTCCAGCTGTAGGAACACATCTGCAAGCCTAGAGGCATCTGCCTATTGCTGGAGAGGCTGTGGCCACCCCAGAGTAAGAGAAAGTTCTGGACTAGGGAGACAAAGCAGTGGGTAGAGCATTTGCTATGCATGCCTGAGGACCCGAGTTTGATCCCCAGAAACCATGAAAAGCTGGGCAGAGGGTCTTTAACCCTCGCCATGCTGGGGCAGAGACAGGAGGACTCCTGGACCTCACTGGCCAGTCAGCCTAGCCAATCGGTGAGCTCAGTGGCTCAATGGGGGGGGAGGGGGGTCACTACATCAAAACGTGTGGTGAAGGCAAGGCGCTGGGGAAATGGCACTGGTTGCTCTTGCAGAGGACCTGGCTTCAGTTCCCAGCACCCACACAGCAGTCCACAACCATCTGTAATCCCGGTTCCAGGGGATCCAACATCCTCTCTGGCCTCCTCGGGCACCAGGCATGCATGTGGTGAACAGACGTGCATGCAGGCAAAGTTCATACACATAAAATGAAAATAACTAAATAACTATTTAAAAATATAAAATTGAGAAAAATGAAAAAGACATCCAATGCTGACCTCTGGACTCGACAGGCGTGTGCACACAAATGCGTATGCACAAGAACACACACACACACACACACACAGCTCTGAGTGTCTCTGCCTCT